TAGACAGCTGCCAGAAGATTGACAGAAGGAGACAAAACATGGAGCAACTGGTTTTGTGACATTTAATTATACTAATTAAATTTTCATGGAAGTTAGATCATTGACTAAGAAAAGTAAGTTCTGAACTGTTCGTGGGCTCTTCTTCCCCATTCTGAGTCTGCTTGCAGCCTATCAGCCCAAGGGACCACCCCGCCCCCTACCCAACCCGGGATTTATGTTTTTACTTTCAAAAACAGGTTTATTATCATACTTCTGATAAGTATAACAGTAGTCAGAGTACAAGCAACAGAGTGTAAAAATCATAGTAATATTGGCCATTAAAATAATCATAGAAATAGCAGTCAAAAATAAATGATAATATCAAAATTCTCATAGTTGTTAAGAATCATACAATTAACTATACTTATTTATTTTTATTGAGGTAACATTGGCTTACATTATAGTTGGTATTTTGGAAGTATAGTTTGGTATTTTGCACCCTTCAGGTGCAGTGGCCAATACCTGAAACAGTGCACCTGCCCCCAAATCTCCCACCACCCCCCACCATAATCCATGTGCTCCCTCCCCTCTTTGTCCTCACCCTACTCCTCTCTCTCTCTCTCTGGCTTCAGTCCCACAGTCAGCTTTCAAGGACCTCTGTGTCTTCTGTTTTGACACATCTGACTTATCTTTTCACAGACCACCATGACTGCAAGCATAGAAATATCCAATTAACAACCTGTCCAGCTTCCATCTTATTTCTTTCCTGGAAATTTTCAGCTGCATTCCTGCCTCACCAAAGGGGCATTTCCTCTCTTTCCTGCAGTGCTCTGGACCATTCAGATTCGTTGAACAGGACCTTAAATGGAAGTCAGGCATGCCTTTTGCTAACTCCTACTCATCTTTCTGGTTTCCACACCTTTTCTACAGTTTTGTTCCCCTCAGCTCCCTGCCCAGCCATCTGGCCATCCACTCATCCTGGGGTGGATCTAGTCTGAGTGGAAACTGTCATCTGAGCATTTGATGACTGTTGTTCAGCCTTCATCAGGCTTAAAGCATGAACAGAGACATCGTGTGTGCTCACCCACCATAGAGGACTTATGTTCCTGGCACGCCCTCCCCCCAAATTGTGCCAAACACAGCTGATTGCCACTGGGAGTGGAATTCTCACCTTCAGAACAATTGTGTTAACCAGCAAAGCCATCTCTCACTTCCACTGTTTTTGGAATTGAATGCAATCCAGCTGTCTCTAAGGATAAAAATGAAAACAAACATAAAAATAAACCACTCTTACATTGCAACAAGTGGGGGAAATTGGCCATTTTTTAATATTAGAAATTTCAAACAGATGGTGAGCTAATTTATGTTTTCATTTTGACATTTACTTACCCAACAGGAATGCAATTAAGCCATATTTTAAGCCCATTCAAAGTGACCTTCATCTGAAAATGCTGTAAGAGATATAGATAGTGCTCCCCACCGGTTAGCAGCACCGGAGGTCCCAGGAATGCTGGTTCTCCCTCACCCAGACTCTCCTAACCAAGGAGCACCCTGTAAGGGTAGCCTCCATGGCAGCTCTGGCTCCCACTGCCTTTCCTGCCTTCCATCATGTCCCACTCCAGGCCTTTTCCTCAGAGTTGACAGAGGAAGTTTCTTTAATGCGGATCAGACTGTGGCAGCCCTCTGCTTGAAATTCCCCTTGCAGTGACACACATGGCTCTCAGAATGGACTCATAGCCCTGGTATTAGGATATCGCCCAAGTCACCTGACTCTGACTCCACTCACTCTTCCCACCTTAGTCCTTTCTGAGTCTCACCAAGCCCCATGATGTCTCAGAAGTCCTCCCCACCCCCACCGTCATCCCTGCCAAGCCTGCTGTCCTCCCTGTGGTGTTCCTGCCCCCTCACTGCCAGCGCTGCCTATAAAGCTCCCTGCCCCCTCAGGCTTCCCTTTCATTTTGACTCACCAGGGTATTTTGGTTTTAGTGGCATTGCACTTCACTCATGCTATTTTATCACGCTAAAATATGGCCCAAGATCATTCAGTCTGAAGCATCTGGAATGTTGTGAATTTGCCAATGATTCTCATGTCTGCCCACAATTTTCAATCTTACTGAATGTGCTCCATCTTACACATTTGCCCATGTCATTCATTGGAAACACATAATAAAGTTCTGTAGCAAGGCAACCTCCCCAAAAGACAAACAGCCCCAATGGACATTTTTATAAATTACTGAAAACAATCTAACCACATGTAGATGATTCTCTTCCACATATGATGGAACTTTCCACTAATGTGTCTGACTGACTCTGTCTGCACCCACGTGTGTGCTTGTCACCCCTTCACACACATTCCACCCCTGAAACAGCAGCCTCCTAACTGCATGTGCTGTTTTTTGTTTTTGTTTTTGTTTTTGTTTTTGTTTTTGGCCACAATCTGCACTGCCTATTGTGCAAAACTGAGTTATAATTTCACTCTCACGGAGGAAGTGGTGGCAGAGGACACGCAGGTATTGTGGGACTCACCTGGGATCTCCTAGTGTCCGCAGCGCAAAAATAGGACTCTCAGCTTTGGATTGTTTTCCGTTCAGAACACAAGAAGTTTGGGAAACTGGTTCAGGAAATAATTGAAGAAAAGTAATCCATCCTTTGTACTGGAAGTCAACAGCCTTGACGGAGAAGAGCAGTGGGCCCCAGAGAGAGGCCGCAGCCTACCCGCAGTCACGGCCCGGCAGCCGCCTGGCTGCCTCGCACCGCACCGGCGACAGCACAGGCTTTGGGTTCACATCATCTTTCCATTTTCTCCTTTCGTGAAGCTTTGCTTGCCTGAAATAGCTTCAAGTGACTTGCTCTGTGGATGTTTCCTACACAGTACTATTCCTTTGAAACTTGAATTTCAATTTAATACGCTGATTGCATTTTATTTTTTTCCTGTTGGGAGCTCTTGAAATCCATCACTTTACTCCCTCCTACTGGTGGGCTTACCATCCTTCCACTGAGCGACCTTATTAACTACTGCCCCTTTTTTTGATTCTACACAGTCAAATAAAATTAACTTTCTTCTAGCTATCTTAATAAAGGGACTTTTTATACTGATTTATTGATAGCCTGATCTAATTACTTATAAATACATTTTGCCAACTTACTGTTCTTCTAGACAAGAAATACAGTACATTGGTTACTTTTTTCCCCCGCCAAAAGAAAGTTTAGCAGGGAAATGCCTTACTGGTTTTTTGTTTTGTTTTGTTTTGTTTTGTTTTTTACTGCTTCAGTGTTCTGGAACAAAATGGCCCCTGCATGCTTGATGTAATTAATGAGACAATAAGTTTAGCCTGGGTGCAGGAAACAGGGCTCTGGATGCAGGCAGGAGAGCCAGGTCACGCTCCGCAAGTGACATAACCAGTCTGCAATTCATGTCTTTCTTTGTTAAATATAATTGTGGGGAGCAGGAAGTGAGATGAAACTGCATAGCATCCTGTTAATCTTTTCTAACCCTCCCTCCCTGTCTTTCAATAAGTGTTTCAGGTAGAGTTCATGAGAACCAAAAGATAAAGCCAGATACCATCGTTGGTCACCCCCACCCTTGCCATCAAATAATTAACTGGAGGCAAGGAATTAACTCCCATGACTTTTATAACTATGTGGATACATGGGTGTGCATGTACATGGATAATATGTAAATATGAGCCCTTGTTTGACCCAGACAAGGCATCATAGAAAATTACTGTGCAACTGTTAATCTGAAATTAGTCCATACTCTGCTGGTTTGATTACCAAATCTGGAATTGAGTGGAGTTTATTAGTCACAAGAAACCCACATACAGGAAGATGCCACTTTCCGTGATCTTTGTCGCTGGTCAGTCAGCACAACCTTGGGGCCCACCTCCACTGAGCATCAGACTAGGAAGGCCAACAAGCCGGCAGGATGGAATTCATTTTCACTTGGTAAATGCTATAGCGCCATCATTTAAATTGTGTCTACTTATTCAGACACCATTCCAAATTGCTTACTTTTTACCTATTATTTTGATATCCAACAGAGGAGGATCCAAGACCTGATTCTCACCATGGGACTTGAAGCAATTTGACAAAGTCCATAAATGAAGGCTGGGTAACTTTAAATATAAATTTAGAGTTCCAGAATTAAAAAGGGCCTTAATAATCTTTGGAACAGACATTAGAAGTTTAAATTTGCTCCAGTATATCCCAGCCAAGTGAAATTCAATCTTTCAGAGTGTCCTTTGGACAGCTCCAGATATTAAAAACTTCTTCCTAATCTTAAACCCATAGTTTCCGACCTTTGACTCCAAATTCTGTTGGGGATATAAAAAGCAGCCCTGCTCAAACTTTTACAAGGCTGAAAAACTTCTTATGAGCAGGCATTGTATCTATTGCAGCTTCTACTAATGTGGTAAATGATTGTTGAGTGAAAATTAGATGTTCATTATTTTGATTTATAACTACTATTAAATGTCTTACAGAATGTGAAATGGTCAGTATATTTAAGTTGTTGACAAAACACCATACACAGTAACTAATTTTATTGTTCAAATGGTGTAACTAATATGTTTTTTTTCTGCCAATCATATCACTCCAGCAGTCTTACCTGACTCAGGTACTTCAGTGTGCCTTCACAATGAAATGGCACACAGTGACACTCAGGTGTTACTGTAAGACATCACATGCACAGGCACGGAGATGCTAAACCAGCAAGGCAGGAGGCCATAAAAGCTGTGGTTCATCCCAACCCTACCCCCTCCACCATCTGAACAACTCTAGAAAGAACATGGAAGTTCTCTGGCTCGTGGTTCCTCTTCTGCAAACTAGAAGGGTTGAACCAAATGGTCTCTTAAAAGTTCTTTCCAGTTTCGCAAATCCCTGTTGACTTGGCTGGGCTTGTAGACTATCCAAAGAAACAATCAGATACAGACTTTTGTCCAGCTCAGTTCTCAGTGTGTGTGGTGACAGCTGTTTATATACAGTTTAAAGCTAGGGGTATTTCTCCTTCTTTCTCCCTGCAGAACACTTTTCTTCAGGAAACGGTGCGTAGGGAGTGTGAAGAACGCTTTGAGCTAACAGAGGCTTTGAGTCAAGCCAGGGAACAGCTCCTGGAGTTCCAGAGGCTCAGTGGAAGCCTGCCATTGTCCCCGTCTTCCCTAAGTCATGGTGGGCTAACCTCCCCCGAGGCCGCACTCAGTGACCAGGGAGACAGAGGCCTGGCAAGACTGAACTCTACAAAAGGATTCAAAACATCTAGCTTGCGTGGACTGCCAAAGCCTGGTGCTTCCCCCACCTCAGCTAAACCACAGCAGTTCCGCGGCTCTGTCCTGCCCACTCTTCCCCAGCCTCATCCTCCCAGAGGCCGGCCATCAGTCGCTGAGACCAGACAAAGACTGGCTGCCATCCTGCGGGGGAGAATGAACCAGAGGTGATGGATCCACCTCAGGACAGGGAAGACAACAAAGATCAGTTATTACCACAGATCACAGATCAAGGACGCATGGCTGGAGAAATTTTTAATAAGAGTGTAAAAACCTAGAAAAAATTGTGAAGCCACATTGTTTCCAAGAGGCCTTTGAGATTGCAACAGACAATGAAATTGTTAATATTCCAGAGGACGGGTTTCTATCTCCATGTGTTGAATGTTAGATGTACTCCATGAGTTTATTCTTTCAGAAGTCATAGGTAGACTTTTTCACGCATAGTATCATTTCTATTTTTGCACCATTGCAAGCAGATCTATGCTCATAAAAAATAGATTGTATTGGTTTTGTCAGTGTTTGTTTAGCTGAATAGGTTAAATAGATACAATTAGTATTCTGAACAGAAAACGAAAGCATTTTATTCCAAAATGCTTAGCTCAAATATTCACAGTTCAGCATCAAGTTCCTTTTTCTACCTCATAACCTAATTGGTCAAAATCAATATTTTTAGGCAAGGTCAGAACTAATGATAAATAACCTTCTGTGAATCTGGGGCCCTCTAGAAGGAACAGTAACTCCAATTCAGGGAAAATGTGGCTCACTTTCCAACAGTAGACATATTTTAGGTAAAAGGCTGGCCATGAAAAAGTACTACTGGTAGAGATTTTCTACGCTGAATGTCTTTTCAGTACTTGGAGTAGGGTTTTGTTTTGAAGTATATTCCAGTCATGGAGAGGAGAACTAGCTCAAGAAAGTAAAGTAGAAGCACAGAGCACTAATTGGGGGTTCAAATTTCATTACCCCTGAAAATAAACAACTGGTCTACATGTTTTCTATTTTCAGAGTGAAAAAAATGAAAACCAGAAACCAGAGAAGCTATCTTAAATGGTCTTAAGACTCCGGTTTCCTCCTGTTTCTTAAAACACAGCTCTTTACCTTAAACTAGCACTTGTCTATCTTTCCTCCCATCCAATGGAAGTGTATTTTTCCTCTGAGACTGCTTTTACTTAAATCCTTCCTCTCACTACATCATGGACTCCCGGCTTCTCGTGCCAGCTTAGCCCAACAACACACGTGGGTTATAGCACAACAAAGCCTCTGCTCTTTGGCTCCTATCAACAAGAGATTCCAAAGCTGCTTGGAATCCTTCCCACATGAGGGGAAAAACTAAGCAAGATCGAGCTCATCTCCAACCTTTCCAGGCTTGTTCTAATCTACTAGTAGAGTGTTTCATTCCATGTTAGGTCTGCTATGTCCCTGACAGTTTAAGTGTGAACATCTTGAGTTAAGACATGGAATACTGACTTTCATTGTGTAAAAGTTGGCGCTGACAAGAGAGTATAACATCACAGAATGTGGGTGCCAAGGTGAGGCTTAGAGATCACCCTAATAATATTTTCACAAAGAAAGATTTGAGGCCCAGGGAGGGAGGTCTGACTTGGCTAAGGCAGTACAGCCAGGTGGTGACAGAGCTACTGCCAAAGCAACCTCACCTGACCCCATCTCACCTTGATTTCCTCTCCCCAGAGATTCCCAAACCACCATCATGACCTTTGTCAACAACACACTGTATTTACCTAATATTTAATTTAAATGTACTCATTTTTTAAATTTAAATTTATGTAAGTTTCCTTACAAAATTATGTAAGGAAAAATTATTTTTAAACTTAAATTTTTGTAAGTTTCCTTACAAATTTTTGTAAGTTTCTTATGTAAGAAAGCTTAACCCAAGGAAGAATAACTATAAAGTAGTAAGTTTGTTTTATTAGATACATTTTTTTCTAATATTTTAAAATAAATGTATAGCTATTAAAAATGAGAAATGTTACTTGGTGAACCCCTAAAATCATTCTGTCTTGTGCCAGCATTACTCAAGCCACACTTGAGACCACACACCAGACCATGAATTTTCTGATCTGGAGTTTGCATGTTTAAATGACTTGCATATGTAGATGGCAAAAGCTAGTTAAAGTTTTAATAAAAGCATAAAAGAGTGTTTGGAGAAACAGACTTTGTTGTTAGATTATACAGGCTTGTTCACAGTCTTCCAATTTCCGTTTGCTCCCCAGAAACCACAGAATACATTATGCCTAAATTATGGCCATACTTAAAGGTGTAGAGAGAGTCAAACATAAGTTTTCCAAAGTGAAGAAAGGCTGCCAGTTTGAAACTCTTGCTTTACTAGTAATTCTGTGAGTGATCACTCTGAGAATAGAATCATGATCTGTGTTACAGACCACTGACCTATCAAGGTTCAGGCATGAAGGATATTTACACTTATCTCAACCTAGATCATTTGAATGATGCAGGCTAAGCTAGGTGCTTAAATCTTTTCAAGAAAAGCAGCTGAAGAAAAAATAATAACATTAGAATGTGTAATCTGGTGTTACAAACATCCTCAAATTTTACTTGACTTTTGCAGTGAATAAGAACTGACATGAAACACATCAGGGATATTTAAAAAGTAGTGAGTGTTATAACAAAATAAGGTTCTATAAGGCATATAAGGGCTACTGAGTTGAAGTTGTCATTTCTCAACAGACATATGCTTTCATTGATCTTACTGGAGAAGTGTAAGTGTCAAAAGAAAAGAATATAATAGGAAATATTCCTTATAAAATTATAACCCTATTTTTTTCTTAAACTGGTTTTGGTGGGCAATGATGGGAAAACTTTTCTATAATCAATGTAGCTTTCCCCAGTAGTTAAAAAGTCTCACTGAATTAAATTGCCATATTTATAGCTCATTAGAACTATGAATAAGTTGTATTTTCTTATAAGGGACTTGAAGAGATATTTAATATTGAAAATTATGTGATAATGAGATCTTTTATTATTAAGTCTAAAAAGTTTTTATAACATTACAGATTAACTTTAGCTAATTAATTATGGAACAAATTTTTTTCAAGTTTTTTTTCTTGAAAAGTTCTCACAATTTTCAGGGGGAAAAAAGCAACTGTAGTAATTTAAAAAAAAAAAGAAAAACAGGGCCCTCCCTGGTGGCGCAGCAGGTTAATGTACAGCACTGGGAAGCTAAAGCCACTTCAGCATGAGTTCAATTCCCTCCTGCCCCAGAGGTGACCACATGGTGCAGCAGACCTCTCCTGACCCGCCCGCTGCTCCCCTCAGCAGTGTACTTCGTAGATCTGCCTGTTCTGCTCCCCACTCTGTCTCTGGTGAAGCCTCTCACTGCCCCCTTATGTCTGGCCTATACCCCAGTTCTGTATGAATAAATAAATAAATCTTTTTAAAAAAAGAAAAAGAAAAACAATGAACAACTATAAACCAGAGACATTCTACAGGGGTAGAGGGGAACAGGATCAAAACTGGGGCGGGAAGAGTGCACAGGACTATGATGATAGCATATAGGTGAGTTGGTGGTGGGAAGCCCATGAGGATTACAATTGAGATGGAAAAATGCACAAAATGAAGAATGGTGTAAAAAATAATAATAAATAAATGTATTTAAATTAAAAAAAAAGGAAAGTTCTTACAATGATAGCAATATTGCATGGCTAGATCAGTCTAATGTGCTGCCAGGGTTAATGCACTGCAGCTGAGAATCCCAACCACCATGTGTCTTGGGGAGCATGGGAAATCAATTTGGTATGCAAACAAGTTTATATATCTTATAAAGATTATGGATAGTTTTAATTTACCCTTTCACATCTATCTTTTAAGGAAATAATTAATATACATTGTATCTTGCATGGGAGATATTAAATGCCCCCCCAAACCATGACAGACAATAATGGCATCTTTCCATAAATTCTATCTATGGTATCCAAAGGAAGAAATTCTATTTTTCCTTTTGAAAAACATTAGCTTTGTGTAGCAATAAATTGTGATGCCAGTGTTATTGGGTTGCATAATTAAAACCTTAAATGTAAGTTGTATCACCTTGGTATGATCTGAATTCACACAGAAAATTTTCTTAACACAGGATTTGAATCTGCAACACACTTACCTTATGACAATATTCACAAAACCCAGAAAGTCAAGGGTTCCCTCTTCTCAAGTATTTATATAGCATTGTGTTTTATTCATTGAGTAAAAACAATGTACTAGATATCCCATACCCCCTCTAATGTATATGCATATTTATAAAAGAATGCAAGATCATAGAGATTAAGTAATTTACCCACAAAAAATAGTAGATAAGACTAATAAATTGTAAACGTCAGCAATTTCTAATCATTTGATCCACAGATGAACCCTGAAGGTATATTATCCATTCACTCTTTCTTCAGCAGACACGGAGAAATATCATTTTAAGAGCTACAAAGATAATTGTGCCACACTACACATTCCCCAAAATTGTATAGTAGAGATCAGGGAGAAAGCATATTCAGAAAGTATAAATAGCAAAAAAAAGAAAGTATAAATAGGGAAGTTATTTTTGAGTCGAAAGTCGAAAGCAGGTTATACATGAGTTCGACTTCTTGTGGAAGAAATCAGGGAACACTTTAGGCAAGAACTGACATTTACAACAGGTCTCAAAAGTGAGTTGGGTTTTATAAAAGATGTTATCTCAGGTAGGAGAAGCATATAAACAGAGGCACAGATATGGGAAGGGCGGGAAATATTTGGTGAAGGAAGCAGTGGGAGCCATGAGCGCAAGGTGGATGCAGACCTGAAGGTGTTGCTGAAGCCCGCAGCTGGGTGTTGACTGCCCCTCAAGAAGACCGGCGATTGGCTCCAGCAAAGCAGGCTTGCAGTAGCTACGGAGTGGAAAGCTGGAGTTGTAGTTCTAGTCGCTGGAGTCCAGACAGTTAATGAAGTTCTGAACAAAGATGTTGATCATGGAAATAAACAGGAAGTAGCTGGCTCAAAACCTCTTCAGAGAATGGAAAGAATTTGTTCCCAGTTACATGTACTTTGAAATCCTTACGAGTAACTGCCACTTAGCAGGGAGTCATTATATAAGGCTGACTCCATTTAAAGAATCACCCTCGAAGAATATTACAACTGCTCTGAAAAAAATTAAATAACAGGAACTACATTTTTGC